TCTTCTATATCAAGAAATATTAAAATAATCTTTTGTGCTAGAAATTGGAGAGCAATGGAGATATTTATTTATAGTTTTATTTACAAAAAGTTCTAAAATTAGGGTCAACAAGAAAAACATCAATTTTGTTGTGGTCAACAAGTCAAACGTCAATTTTGACTTTTTGAATGAATGTTGATTATATTATATATCTTTATCTCTCCTTCTCCCCCAATTTCTCAATCCTTTAATTATGTACCTTTTAATTTAATCTCTGCTAATATTTATGATTTTCAACTTTGGAGTGCACGAATAGATAATTAAATTATTATAAAGTTGAATAAATAGATATACACTTGAACTCGTCCCACATGAAAAATCACATGAAATTTTCTACGTAAGACATATATATATGATCTCTAAACTCATATTTAACTGAAACTCAAAAATAAAGAAAGGGAAATAGGTTTTGGGGTCTATTCTTGGACCCCCCCAAAAAAGTGCCCACTCATAGGAATATTTCTATGTGCATGTTTAAGTATTGAAAAAGTTGATTTTGGGATCACTAAAAAAGATTGAGAACAAAACTCAAATTTATTTCAAGATATGATCTGCTCACACTTCAAAAGATATTCTTATAATTATGGTTCCAATATATTTTGCTTACACTGATATTGGACTTCTTCATTTTTTAACAATTAAATTTAAATCCACAATTTTATTACTAGCTAGTACAATATTAAGAATCTTCCAAAAGTAAATTCATCGACTAAAAAAATCTTAAATCCGCCAACGCATAAACCCCACACTCCTCACCATAATTGGCAACTCCTTAGTAATTGCTATTTTAGCTTTATTGATCACATTAACCCAATTATGGCCATTTAGGGGCATTTCTTGGAAAGGAAGCACTACTTTTGGACATGAAAAGACAAAACTACATTCAAAAAATGGGGAATTTGTCTAAAATCGTAAGGAATTTATTTTAAAAAACGGCTGTGAATTCAAAGGTTGATTTGCACTTTTGTTGTGTTTTTGTGTCCTACGTATTGTTAGTGGCCGCCAAGTTATTGTGGTGGTAAAATCAATTCATAAAATTAATTTTTTTTTAATCTATTTAAATTTGGATGAATTAATGATTTGTTTGTTTTATGTGTGAAGTGCACAAATATTCGTATTTAAAATTGTCATTTAATTAGCGCATGTACTAGGTGAAAGAATAAACAGTTGCGACTGAAGCTTGATAATTTTAGAGATTTGCAATTGATGTTTGATTTAGTTGAAAGTGTGGCCTTGTGAAGTTCAAACATAAGATGTTTTCACTTGATGTTTAGTATGATTTGTCAAGGTAAAAGTTTGAATATTTTTAATTATAGTACATGTAAAAATTAGTTAAATTTTCATCAACATTAATTAATGAGTCTTCACAATAATATGTATGTTGTAATAATGGACAAAGTTTCAATATTCACATCTTTAAAATATTAAAACAATTCAATAATAAATTTAATTTTGCAGGACACTAACAACTCTCGAAGAACAACAAGGTCACACGTACCAACCATGTGTGGAATGGGGTACTCATAAACAACAACAACAACCGCGTTGAAGCAAATGATAATCTCTAAAATAATATGCAATGTCTAGAAGTTTTGTCCTTTATGTATTTCATGTCCCTTATATTTTGTCCTCTACATTATCAAATTATATAAAAAGCTCTATTAAACTTGACCGCATCACTTACATTTTTATTTACATATAAATAGTATAAATAGAAGAAGAAAAAAAACACGAAAACACAACAACAAAACGATTGAATAAATAATGAATTAAGAAGAAATATTAATATTTTTTAAACACTTTTTTTAATGTTGTAATTGTAATTGCGCACGCTGATATGTGCCTTGTAAGGCGCACACTGACATGCGCCTTGTAAGACTCATGTCAGCATGCGTCTTACGAGGTGCATGTCAACATGCGCCTTACAAGGTACATGCTAGCGTGTGCCTTGCGACCAACGATTAAATGACATCCATCATTCCATTCAAATATTGTCCTTTTGATTTGATCCTCAATTTTCGTTGTCGTTTCGAAAATCTTACTCATTTTTTTTTAACCTTTTAACTTCGGGCTCTACTAAAAACACACTAAAGCTAGGGGAATTGAATTTTTACTTGTGCTTCAACTAATCTGACCCGAACAAAATTTGAGCATTTTAGAATCTATAACAAGAAAACTATTTCGTGTAAATTATGAAAAAGTAAACATAAGTTGACCTAACAAAAAAGGAGCTCAGATGCACTATCTTTGTCATCTATAATCAGATGAGAGTGTGACAACCCATCGTTCACAATTTAGTGCAATGCAAACATCATTGCTCCTCAACTGCACCAGTCGGGAATTGAACCTGAATTTACACCATGGCAGGTTACTATTCTACCACTAGACCACTGGTGCTTCATGTATATGTTTCTACAATTAGTTTAATTTCATTGTAATATTTGAGCTTGAACTTTAGGAGTGAACCAGAAAAATGAATTTTGTTTTCCCTTTGAAACCATGGTTAGAAAATCAAAATGCTTTTATTGACAATGAGTTTAATAGAATAATTACTTGCAGAAAATGCAACAAATATTGATGACTAAAACTGTATATTACTTAAGGGTATAATACAATAATTTTCCTACATAGTAATAGGACTATATAATAAGTTTCAATTTACTAGACCAGAAACATCCTAGTTAAACATAAAGAATTAAAGAGCAATGAAACCAAACATTTCCCTACAAATAAAAAAAATAAAAAAAATAAAAAAAAAGTTGTAAATCTCACCATAATATTCCCTATAGAATTAAGATAAATAAATGTTATACAGATACTAGCAGTAAGAATGCTTTGTCACTTATTTGTACTGATGTATATTAAGATATAATATATTAAATCGTTTTGTACAAAAAAACATGAAAATGACAACTCATTCGAATACTTTTGGCCACCATAGCAAGGTTCAAAAGATGATTTGGAGCTTTATTATGTGCCACAAATTTCTCTTCGTAGGCAGGGGTGAAGCTGTAGCCACCCAAGATGTCCAACTTGATATCCTTCATCGGAAAATTAAGAGGGATTATTTAATTAATTAAGAGGCATATCCACAGCCTTATCAAAACCATTTTCAGACCTAATGACAAACAAGCAAATCATATCAAAATTCAGATCAGATCGGATCAAACTCTTCTTTATTTGAGCGGCTCGAACTCGCAATAATAATCATAATTCATATCTAACAATAATAACAAGTGGACAAGAGCTGGAAAGTACTCAAGAACACACATGATGTAATATAATTGGGAAGATGATCTGATAGACCATCAACTACCATTTTTGTTGGCACATTTATTATTAGCATGTTACAAATGTTATACAGCCAGCTGTTCAATATTTTCTACTCCCTCCGTCTCAAAATACTCGTAATTTAAGACGTTCATTTAGCTTTTCATCTACTCTCTCCGTCCTATACTTGTCATATATTTTTTCTTCTAAAAATTAATTTATAAATTTTAACCAACATATATATTAAGATGTATTCTTTCAGTGAATGACATTACAAGAACTTATTTTAGCTTCCAAAAATTAATTGAATTAACTCTCATAAAGTAAAATGAAACAAGTTAAAATAAATAGAGAGTATAAATAATAAAATCCAAACCTAGTAAATTAAATAAGTTAGAGAAGAATTAATGCCACCTCTGCAAATTATTAAGGCAAAGTTATTGATGTTAGCTACTTTTTTGTGAGTAGTTTCTAGCTCTAATAAATATCTATTTTTATTTTACTTTTTCATTATATTTTTTTTAAAAAAATTATCTGTTATTTTTAGCATATCAACAACAAAAGAGCATATATTTTTCATGTTTACCTTAAATATTAATTATTTATATTTAAAATTATCTTTTAAAATATAAAATTAAACATTAGTTAATATAAATATTATATTAAAATATTTATATAAATTATTATTTCTTAAGAAATATATTAAGTCTAATCTAAACAACTAAAAACGAGTGGAGAAAATATTTAGAAAGGACTAATTATTGTTTATGTCTCTTAACTAGGGACAAACAAATTAGTCTAACATGTTTAGGTCGTCCGTAAGGTCATGAGTAATCATCCAATATTTTTTTTATAATTAAATAATTATATTAAGCAATACTTAATTAGTGAACAAATTTAAAATTTAAAAATGTACTTAGTTAGGTTAATATAGCAAAATAAATATGTTTTTTTAAGAGCCGTATATACATAACGAGTCAATATAAATCAAGTAAAATGAAACAAAGGAAATAATAATTCATTCACTTAAAGACCCCTCGGCTGCTAAAGTTTGTTGACAAGTAGTCAATACGATGAAGGGTGTCCATAACTTCTTTTTTATTGCTCTCTCTCTGTCAAGCAATAATTATTCACTATATTAAAAATAAATGTCCAATAATACTTGTTTAATTTAAAAAATTAAGAGATAATTTATCTTTTGTGTCTATTTTACCCTTGCTATTAAATATTATATATCATCTAACACATTTTTCAAAGCATTAAATTTAATAAAGTCAAAAAATAATATAGTAATATTACCCCTATTATTTATTGTTTCTTAAGAGGCATGTCAAGTCAATAGTGGACAACTATTATTGGATAGAGAGAGTATTATTAATTTCCCATCTGGTGTCCAGATATTAGAACCTCGATCAATTTCTGATCATGCACTGCAAAATCCATTAGGGGGTGGCGCTCCATATTCAGACTTCAAATCCGAGACATTTAGTTAAGAGTAAAACAGTTCCACCACTGTATCACAACTCACATGTTAGCAGGGTGTCCATAACTGTATATATTTCCCCAACAAGAAAATTAATCACAAACATATGAAATCCAATTTTCCATCTCTTCATACAATAAATACAAGATATATTAATTAATAGTACTTGCAAATATATTATTATTCACACACCTAGCTAGCGAACATTATCAATATTTATTTATATAAGGTAAAGATTTAAGAGCCACAAGACATAGTACATTGTGAACAAAATTAGAACAACAAAAATGAAGAATATTAATGTGAAAAGAAGGGTTGAAGAAGAAGATGATGATGATGAAACGTCGTCGTTTCCAGTTAGCCCTACCGGGCAGTATTTTACGAGCTCGGTTATGTCGATTTCTGTAATTTGTGTTCTGGAATCTGAAATTCCGATCGATGATTCTTGTACCGTGACAATGCTTAAGGATGTTTTTATTCCTATAAATCCTCGTTTCTCTTCTATTATGGTAAGTTTTTTTTCTTTTTTTTTCGCGATGTGTTAGAATGTCCTACATTAGTTGAGAGATATTTTGATTGTTATCTCCTTATATGATCGTAGGTAGTAGGAAAGCTAAGTTGATGGGAGGGGTACTTTTAAATGAATGTCTTTCGTTAGAAAATTATATCGCCTGAAAAAATTATTTCCTTTTGTTTTAACTAAGTTGTTGATTTCTCTTGGTATAATGAAAAAAATATAGTTAAGTAGCTAAGGGTTCAATCATATCTAGGCGAACTTAGAATTTCAAATTTACGAATAATGACTAATGATTGCGTTTTAAACATAATGTTTATCTATATTTAATAATTTTAAATATAAAATTACTTTTTTGAACAAAAATTATCGAGTTCATATTCAGGCTTTTAACTCGGTCACTGAGTTCAAAAGTTGATTTAGGTCATAGAGTCAAATTTGAAGTGTGATATTTTAATATTTTTTCTTTAATTCCTATTATTTAAAATCTTGATTCCGTTACTGATAATAAATATATCTTGTCTTACAAATTACATATTGAGTTAGGGTTAAGATCTATCTTTATTCTTCAATTCTTGATTGTTTTTATCCTAGTTTTCTTGTTAATCTTGATTAGGTGAAAGACAAGAATGGAGTGAAACAATGGAAGAAAGTAGAAGTGAAGCACAAAGACCACATATATGTACCAATTTTCCCACAAGGAAAATCAAAAGAATTTTATGATAATTGTTTCAATGAATACATGACCAAAATTGCTATGGAACAATTCCCACAAAGTAGACCACTATGGGAAATTCACATATTTAAATATCCAACAACAAAATCAGCTGGAAATTTAGTGTTTAAACTTCATCATTCACTTGGTGATGGATTTTCACTAATGGGTGCACTTCTTTCTTGTTTACAAAGAGCTGATAATCCTTCACTTCCCTTAACATTTCCATCATTTACTAGTAATAATAATAATAATAATAATAATAATAATCACAATTTGGAAAGTGATAATAATCACAATTTGGAAAGTGATTATAAGAAGAGTTTTTGTACTAATGTGGTTCAAAGTGTTAATGGAGTTGTGAACACTTTGTTGGATTTTGGATGGAGTTTAATGAAAAGCACTAATCTGGAAGATGAAAGGACAACAATTAGGTCTGGTGATGAAGGTGTGGAGTTTAGACCAATTGATATTACAACTATGGAGTTCTCTCTTGATCATCTCAAGGAAATTAAGTCCAATCTTAAAGTGGTATGTTGTTTAATTTATTGTCTTAATCGTTTTCAGCATGACTTCTACGTTACTGTATTTGTTTTACTTGCTTATCTTGAGAAACTATCATATTACTTAAAAAATTGTCAAATCTAACCTTAAAAGAAGTTGGAAAAAACTGACCTTCGAAGGTTGATTTTTACAAATAAAAAATTGATTTTTTAAAATAGAAATCGACCTCATGAGATCGACTTTTTGTGACCTCCAAGTATTTTGGGACCTAAATTTTAGGTCGGTTTTGTCACGTCGATTTTTATTTGTTGGAAACAATCTCTTAACCTTTGTAAGGTAATTAAGGATAAGATTGAATATACGCCACCTTTTTAAGACTATGTCATTTAATTTCCTTTTTTATTATTGAAATTTATGATATATATATATATATATATATATA